CACGAACGTGGCGACAGTTACGCAAATCGCAGCCCCCCAGAGCACCGCGGAGTCTCGAGAAGGTCCGCGTGGGACGTACCTCCGCCGCGCCTCCCAGGAGCCAACGAAAGTGGCGACAATTGCACAGATCGCAGCCCCCCAGGGCGCCGCGAAGTCTCGAGGTGTTCTGCGTGGGACGTACCTCCGCTGGACCTCCCAGGAGCCCACGAAAGCGGCGACAGTTGCGCAGATCGCAGCCCCCCAGGGCGCCGCGAGGTCTCGAGGTGTTCTGCGTGGGACGTGCCTCCGCTGGGCCTCCCAGGAGCCTACGAAAGCGGCGACAATTGCGCAGATCGCAGCCCCCCAGGGCGCCGCGAGGTCTCGAGATGGTCCGCGTGGGACGTATCTCCGCTGGGCCTCCCAGGAGCCCGCGGAAATGGCGACAAATGAGCAGATCGCAGCCTTTCAGGGCGCCGCGAGGTCTCGAGATGTTCTGCGTGGGACGTGCCTCCGCTGGGCCTCCCAGGAGCCCACGAACGTGGCGACAGTTGCGCAGATTGCAGCCCCCCAGGGCGCTGCGAATTCTCGAGATGGTCCGCGTGGGACGTACCTCCGCTGGGCCTCCCAGGAGCCCACGAAAGTGGGGACAATTGAGCAGACAACCCCCCCCCCAGGGCGCCGCGAGGTCTCGAGGTGGTCCGCGTGGGACGTCGTTCCGCCGGGCCTCCCAGGAGCCCACGAAAGTGGCGACATCTACCGATCGCAGCCCCCCAGAGGTCTCGAGGTGGTCCGCGTGGGACGTGCCTCCGCTGGGCCTCCCAGGCACCACGAACGTGGCGACAACTGCGCAGATCGCAGCCCCCCAGGGCGCCGCGGAGTCTCGAGGTGGTCCGCGTGGGACGTACCTCTGCTGGACCTCCCAGGAGCCCACGAAAGTGGCGACAATTGAGCAGATCGCAGCCCCCCCAGGGCACCGCGAGGTCTCGAGGTGTTCTGCGTGGGACGTGCCTCCGCTGGGCCTCCCAGGAGCCCACGAACGTGGCGACAGTTGCGCAGATCGCAGCCCCCCAGGGCGCCGCGAGTTCTCGAGGTGGTCCGCGTGGAACTTACCTCCGCTGGGCCTCCCAGGAGCCAACGACAGTGGCGACAATTGCGCAGATCGTAGCCCCCCAGGGCGCCGCGAGGTCTCGAGATGGTCCGCGTGGGACGTACCTCCGCTGGGCCTCCCAGGAGCCCACGAAAGGGGCGATCGCAGCCTCCCAGGGCGCCGCGAGGTCTCGAGGTGGTCCGCGTGAAACGTACCTCCGCTGGACCTCCCAGGAGCCCACGAAAATGGCGACAATTGCACAGATCGCAGCCCCCAAGGCGCCGCGAGGTCTCGAGGTGGTCCGCGTGGGACATGCCTCCGCTGGGCCTCCCAGGAAACCAAGAACGTGGCGACAATTGCGCAGATCGCAGCCCCCAGGGCGCCGCGAAGTCTCGAGGTGGTCCGCGTGGGACGTACCTCCGCTGGGCCTCACAGGAGCCCACCAAAGTGGCGACAATTGGGCAGATCGCAGCCCCCAGGGCACCGCGAGAGCTCGGGGTGGTCCGCGTGGGACCCACCTCCGCTGGGCCTCCCAAGAACCTACGAGAATGGCGACCATTGCGCAGATCGCAGCCCCCAGGGCACCGCGAGGTCTCGAGGTGGTCCGCGTGGGACGTACCTCCGCTGGGCCTCCCAGGAGCCCACGAAAGCGGCGACAATTGCGCAGATCGCAGCCCCCAGGGCGCCGCGAGGTCTCGAGGTGGTCCGCGTGGGACGTACCTGAGCTGGGCCTCCCAGGAGCCCACGAAAGTGGCGACAAATGAGCACATCGCAGCACCCAAAGCACCGCGAGGTCTCGATGTGATCCGCGTGGGACGTACCTCCGCTGGGCCTCCCAGGAGCCCACGAAAATGGCGACAATTGCGCAGATCGCAGCCCCCAAGGCGCCGCGAGGTCTCGAGGTGATCCGCATGGGACATACCTCCACTGGGCCTCCCAGGAGACCAAGAACGTGGCGACAATTGCGCAGATCGCAGCCCCCAGGGCGCCGCGAAGTCTCGAGGTGGTCCGCGTGGGACGTACCTCCGCTGGGCCTCACAGGAGCCCACCAAAGTGGCGACAATTGCGCAGATCGCAGCCCCCAGGGCACCGCGAGATCTCGGGGTGGTCCGCGTGGGACCCACCTCCGCTGGGCCTCCCAAGAACCCACGAAAATGGCGACCATTGCGCAGATCGCAGCCCCCAGGGCACCGCGAGGTCTCGAGGTGGTCCGCGTGGGACGTACCTCCGCTGGGCCTCCCAGGAGCCCACGAAAATGGCGACAGTTGCGCAGACCGCAGCCCCCCAGGGCGCCGCGAGATCTCGAGGTGGTTCACGTGGGATGTACCTCCGCTGGGCCTCCCAAGAGCACATGAAAATGGCGACAATTGCGCAGATCGCAGCCCCCAGGGCGCCGCGAGGTCTCGAGGTGGTCCGCGTGGGACGTACCTCCGCTGGGCCTCCCAGGAGCCAGCGACAGTGGCGACAGTTGCGCAGATCGCAGCCCGACGGCACGAGAGAAGAGAAGAGGGTAACACAGGAAACAGGAGAGGAGGAGGGGAGGAGGGGGGAGGAGAACAAGGACGGGGCGACCACACTGCTCTATTCAAAACGAGTACCCAACCATAGGAGGGTTGGGAACAACTCCTCTGGATGAAGAGCTGGTCCAGGGGGGACGCCATGGGGCAGGAGCGGTCAACATTGACTCGGGCAATCGCATCTGATCGGAGCGTGCATCGGATCGGGTCGCATCGGCACGGACCTGGACCCAGGATCGGCCGCGACAGACTGCACATCAACACCATGGAAACTTCGGACTACATCGGATCGTCGGACGATCGGAATCGAGGTGAATCGGAATGGACGACACTGATTTCAAAGTGCATCGATGAGATCGAAGTTGACTCTGCCTGAGATCGAAGACATAGCAGCCAGTTTCTTCCACCAGCCAAACGCTGGGCCATCAGATTGTGAACTGCCCTTGCCTTGTGCTATAGCGGACACACGCCTCCGGCCAGCGGCACTGCTTTAGCCGATGTGTCGAGCAGACACGGCGTCATTGATTGATTGATTGATTGATTGATTGATTGATTGATTGACAAGAAAACATCGAACGTCGTCGTCGTTCGGCGACCCGGTGACTTGGCGAGCGAGGGGGGGCGAGGAGGGCGAGAGGAGGGAATGCAACAAAATGGTAGGAGGATGGGTGTACCGCTGCGATCTGGGCGCGCTCGACAGGAGCTCGCGATCTCAATCTGCGCCTGCGCAACCCGCCAGCCTCAGACCAGCTGCTCCAGCGCCGCAGCAGAGATTAAAGGGTGCGCGTCGACAGCGACCGCCACGTCGATGACGTGCCCCGGTGAGGTAGCTGTCCCCGCTGGTGAGCTGAGCCTCCGCATCCGACCTCGGGACCTCGGTTGACGCCCGTCCGAGGCGTCCTGCGATGACGACGACGGCAGCCTGCCGCGCTGCTCGGAGGGCCTGGCCTCGCTAGGCCCGCGGGCGCAGATCGACCGCCCGTGCCGCGGCGCAGCTCCGCCGAAGACGTCGTGCCGACGCCGCGCTCGCACACGAGCAGCCTCAAGTTCAACTGTGGAAATAATCCTCTCTGCCGAATCCTGGGCCACCCAACGCGCAGCGCGACCCGCTGTTCCCTTCGCGCCCCTCGCGAGGCCGCCCAGGAGGAGGCACTCGCATTCGCATTCACGCTCTCATCAGGACATGGTCCTTCCCTCCCTGGGCCGGAGCGTGGAAGTCGTAACCTCTCTATGCGTACACGTGCTGGGGAAAGCAAAGGCCACACAGCACAACCGTGCTTCCCTGCTGGAGTTGGTTTCAGCGTCGTTGTCGGCTGGTGTCGTGTTGGCAGGTGTCTTGGTCGTCTCGTTCGGGTGCTGGGCTCCCGTCGATGAGATGAGGTCGGACTCATGCTCATCCAGGTGGTTGTGTCGGAGGCCACGTGGATCCACGTAGTATCATGCATGGCGTCTCCCAAACCCATGCCGCGGTGTGTGAAGCGCGATTGTATTCGCGCCCCGTGTTGACCCATGAACCAGAAAACGAACGACACCACCCCACCTACGGCCCCACGGAGCTTAACGTATACCAAGAGATCTGGCGTGGGCTTTTGCATGGTATACGCTCCGGCGCCCGACGGGCCGCAGCGCAACATGGAGGGCCGTGGGTGTGGTGGTGTCGTCTGTTTTCTGGTCGAACCCAGGACTCGCCTCCATCTTGCCCCGAGCTTGGCCTCGAGGCGTCCCACGGCCGAACCAGCCGTCCGCATGGCGCGCGCCCAACCTGTCCCTCTGCGGCGCGCTGAAAGAAACCGTGCGGTACGGGTGATGAAGTGTGTGCGTGTGTGTGTGTGTGTGTGTGTGTGTGTGTGTGCGTGTGTGTGTGTGTGTGCGCGCGCGCTGCTCATAAAACTGTGCGCGACCCCTGGCGTTGTCCACCCATCTGCTACGCCTGAAGGAATGACGCTACAGTCGAAACGCTGTCACCAGGAACCCAGAATAAGGAACGAGGCCCCTTTTTGTTCCATACGTTGAACTTCGATCTCCCATAGAAACTCAGAGCAACACTTAAGACAAATTGCAAAACAATTAAGGAACACTGAGCCCCTCCCAAACCAAACGGGTTCCTTCTTCAGCGGCCCGACTGTAAGCGTGGCCCACCTTGGCCGCTGGCTGTAGTGTCCCAACTCGGCCGCTTGAGGGAACACGAGCGCGCGTGTGTGTGTGTGTGTGGCTTGGGCAATAGAGGAGCAACGGCTCTGCAGCGGAATCGCCCAATATTCTCGCGCATCGCACTGGCGACGACGACAACACACTGAATCGATACAAGAATGCGACACTGCATTGCTGACCCAACTATGCAATGACCTGGCCAAGGCGTGCGACTAGGACCACTGATCATCATTCTCACCTCTCCACCTGAAGGAAGGCGAAATTGCCTCGACCCCTATCATGTCGTCGGTCAGGCTGACACGACAATAGTGCGAGGTGAATAATCTGAGCGACGCAGGGTGAACAACATGCAATACAGGAGGGCGATGCGAGAATCGCGCGCAACTGATCCATGTCAATATGGCAACGTTCGCGCGATATGATCCGTGTGAAATGAGCGGGCTATGTGAGGCTGTGGCGAGAGCGACTGCCGAGAATGAATCAGACGAAGAAATTTCCACCAACTCACATGTACAGCCACGTAGTTTCAGAATACGGGGTAAAACGACTAATTGAGGGCATGTGGCACGGCCCCCTGCAGAGCCGCATCACTGCACCACGTGCTGCAAAGCCTTGTTTCATAAAGCCGCTCTTGAGGAACGAAGCACAAAAAAACACCCCACTTAATGACGTCCATTGAGCGTGAACGCTAACCTGCTGCAGTAACGAGACGCGTCTGACACGGGAGCGCGGGAACCAGCGCGTCCTGAACCAACGGCAACCCCGCAATCGAAATACAGACCCTAATGAAAACCTGGGATTGGACTTTCGCAGAACGGGTCTACGTGTGCGCTTGGGTCCGACGGCACACGACGAATGAATCGCAGGCAAGAGGTCGGTGCACTCGTTAATCTGCATGGCCCGAAAATTCATTGCAAGAACTGAACATGTGGGGCGAACGGCAAAGCATACGGTAATGTATGAAAACACAAACCATGAACATGGACGCATGCTCCTGGCAAATACGCGGAATAATCGCACAACCACATCCAACAACACTTGCCGATCAAAAACAAAAGTAGGACTTAGCGTGAACCTGGCATTACAAAGCCAAGTGCAATAGCGGATACACAAGTCGGCGGCGAGAGAGGGGGGAAGTGAGAAGGAGAAGGCCTTCTCAGAAGGAGGCGGGACTTCTCAGAAACCCTCGCGCCTTCTGAGACGTTTTTCTTGTGTTCGGGAAAAGCTTCGAAAACTGATTAGAAGGCAAGGGGGCCTCCAAACCTTCCGGGAAGGCCCTCTCCTTTTTGCTTTCCCCCTGGGCTTCCCGCCGAAGAATCGTCGATGCGCGACCTTTGAATTCTCTCCCCAGCAACTGGGTCTTGCGAAGCCGCAACAACAGACGTCGGCCGCTTGTCCATGATCTCCTGCGCGGCACGACCGGGAGCCGCGGCCTCTGCCCTCCCTGCCAAAAGTCAACCGGGTCACTCCTGGAGCGCGTGTGCTCGTACGTCATGGTCTGCGCCCGAAGCGTCGAGGGGACAGCCACGCAGTTAAACAATACTGTATGCCCCTTGGCCTTTTCGACGCCGATGGACCTCCAGAACCTGAGGATGGCCCCAAAAAAGGCCCGAGATGGCCCCAAGAAGGGGCCATCTTGTGCCTTTCTGGGGCCCAAGAGCGGCCCTAACAGCCTGCAGTATCACCCCAGGAGGACTCCAATCCATGCCTTTGGGGGAGAGCTATCAAAAGGGGTGCTGCAAACTGGTGTCGTGACGACTTGCGCATTGGTTTCCGACAACATGTGGATCGTTCAATCCTGGACAATCGTGGTCTTCTTACACCCTGCGAAATGCTTAAGAAATCATGGGTTAAGAAATTCATGGTCTCAGAACTTGAATAAAAACCCAACATGTCTATCAAAATCTTAGGATTTACATTGAAACGTTAAGAATAATCGAGACTCTGGCCGAAAACTTAGGTTTTCTTAAGCATCGCCTAAGGTGTACATCCGAGAGTGCTCAATACTGGCTGAGTCCAGGCCGCCAACGGCTTTCAACCTTGGACGCCCGAGCTGGCGTCGCCCAAGAGTTCGCACAACGCGAACCTATCCCATTCCTGGACGCTATCGTCATTCCCAGTGGACCTGCAAAGAAAAAGCTGTGTTCTTGTCGGCTGTCAGCCTACAGATTCTTCGTGGCACGGGCGCAGGCTCCTCACGCAAGTTCTGTGATGAACATTGCTGTGCCATGCAATGCTATGTTATGCTGTGTGGTGCTGTGATAGTATCTGGCATCCAATCCACGGCCTGCAATGGTGTATGATATCACGTGCAACAATGAATGGCACGTTACCTTGATACCGTGTGCGTTGGAATGCGATTATGTGCGATGGCAATGTGATGCTATGATGTGGCGCATGTACAATGCGTAGTGTAACGATATGGAGCACTGCGCTGTGATGCGATAGCGATATGCTACGATATGCCACTGCATGGTGGTGTCATGCTATGTTGCAGCTGAGGTGCTGTGATGTTTGAGTATCACTAATATGTGAAGCTATGTATTGTTATCGTTTCCACGCCAAGTCATGCTACAAGTTACATGTCTAGTAGCATCCTTCATCGAACTGGCACAGATCGTGTAACACGTTACCCTGCGCGTTGCCAGCAACACGCGCTCTCCAATGCCAGCAAAAATGGAGTGCAAAGATGTGCTGGACGTTCGTGCCATGAGATGCCACACTGCGCTTCACATAACATAGGACCAAGGAACGGCGACACCAACACCACCAGAGCGAGGAGGCGCGAGGAGGCAACGGGGGTATCCCTGGTGGTGTGGTCCCCCCCTCTCGCTCGAGACATCCCCAGCCTCCAGCTCGGGGAGGTATCGTAGACCTCCTCGCTGGAGGTTGGGTGGTGTTGGCGTCGCTTTTCCTCCCTCCGATAACCTTATACATGACTTCACTGCTCTGCCCTGCCCGTGCGGGCCGGACAGAACGTGTAATGCCCACATCGGGTTCCCGCGAGGTTCCTGTGCTGTGGTCGACGGCCGCCGGATGACCCCGCGAGGGCCCCGAAAGCTCCCATCAGAGCCCCAGGACAGCCCCACGCAGGCCCCAACGGCGCCCAACACTGCCCCAAGCAAGATAATTCACCCCTCCAGGATTTGCAACGGAACCATCCCAAAGGCCGACAGAGATTTCAAATGTGGCCGTTGTTGGGAGCTGCTCGGGCTGATCCCAGCTTCGCCTCGACAGGCGTTCCCTCCAAGCCTGTCACTTGCGCTCCCGCACTGCCCTTCTCGCGACAACTCACCTGATAATCGTTGCTGGATGGGTCGGCCGGGGATAATCAAAACGTCAAAACATATGTTTTGCCGTCGCATTGCCAAGACGCCTGCCCCCCAGACGGCCCAAGAGGCCTCAAAGACGCCCAATGAGGCCTCCAAGAGGGCCTCAAGAGGTCAGACTCATTGATTTTCTCTAGTTGTGTGAAAGATTTTTGCGGTCTAGCCTGTTCGGCTTCCCGACGCTCCCAGGCGGCCCTAGAGGCCCGCAGGACCGTCTCAAGACGCCCAAAAGCCCCCAAGAGGGCCCCAAAACGATACAAAAAGGCCCAAAGACAGCCCAGGAGGCGCCCAAAACGGCCCAAGAGGGTCCCAAGACGGCCCTTGAAGGGACACAAAAGAGGGAGCAGGAACCGAAAATCCTAGCCTTCCGCCCCAGGAGGCCCCAAGATGCCCCGCAGAGGCAGAAACCCCCAAGAGGCCCCAGGAGGCCCCCAAGAGGCCCAAAAGAGGCCTCCAAGAGGCGTCCGAACTGCCTCCATGAGGCCCCGGAGAATCCTCCCACGAGATCCCAATGAACATCCAATAGGCTTCATATCCACAACCCAAGCACGGTGGCGGGATGAGCCGAAGGACATTCGATCCGCCGCTACCTCTTGATTTGTCTAAACAAACTCTCTCCTGGGCCTCTGGTCCGTGCCGCCGGCCTCCCGGAAAATGTGGCTGCCGTGCCTCCCCAACAGCCGTATCGCTAGGGACGTCCTTAAGACATCGCGATCGTGGGGTCCAGATGGCCAAATATGGCCTCCAAGACGGCCCAAGAGAGTCCAAGATGGCTCCGAGTCCGCCCAAGAAGCGTCCAACATGGCCCAAGACGGCCCAAGAGGCCCCTAAGGAGCGTCAAAGACGGCCAAAGGGGCCCGAAGATGCCAAAATCAGTGATTTCCCAGAAGTGTTGTCAATCCCAAGATGCCCCCAAGATCGCCTCAAGATGGCCCTCAAGTCTCCAAGATGACTTCACGACGGCCCAAGAGGCCCCCAATAGGGCGCCAAGACTGCCCAAGAGGGCCCCAAGTCGGCCTAGAGAGGGCTTCTGACGGCGTCAGACGGGCCAGGAGCCCACCAAGACGGCCAAAATGGCGCCCACTTGGTCTCCAAGACGGCCCCAGAGGCCTCCAAGATGACCTTCAGGAAGGCCCGAAGAGGCCAAAAACACATTGATGTTCCTAATGTGATTGAAGGATTTGGGCATTTGCTTTTTTTCGGCCTTCCGACGGCCCGAGACGGCCGAAGAGCCTCAAAAGATCGCCACAAGATCGCCCAAGAGGCCTCCACGATGGCCCCAGAACAGCCCGAGAGGTCTCAAGGACGGCCTCAAGACGGCCCCAAGACGACCCAAGAGGCCCTGGAGCACCCCAAGAGGGCCCCAAGTCGGCCCAGAGAGGCCCCCGAGACAGCTTCCGACGGAGTCAGACGGGCCAGGAGCCCACCGAGACGGCCCAAAATGGCGCTAAGATGGCCCAAGACGGACCAACAGGCCCCCAAGAGGTCTAAAGGACTGCCCAAGAGGCCTCCAAGAGGTTCCCCAGGAGGTCCCGAAGAGGTCAAGATCAATGCTTGTCCTAAGGTTGTTGAAGGATGTTTGCAATTGTTGTTTTTCGGCCGTTGGACGCCCCGAGACGGCCCAAGAGCCCCCAAAGATCGCATCAAGATCGCCCTAGAGGCCTCCACGATGGCCCCAAAACTGCCCAAGGCACCCAAGACGGCCTCAAGAGGGCCCGAGACGGCCCAAGAGGCCTCCAAGACGCCCAAGATGGCCTCCAAGACGGCCACCCCAAAAGGGCCCCAAATCGGCCCAAAGAGGCCCCCAAGACGGCTTCCGACGGCGACAGACGGGCCAAGAATCCCCTGGAGCGGCCAGCGGGGCCCCCCGAGAAGCTCCCAAAGGCCCCCAAGAGGCCCAAGGGGGCCCCCACGATGCACCCCGAAGGCTCCCAGGAAGATCCCAGGGGCCCCAAGAGTGCCCCCAGAGGCTCCCAAGATGCCCCCTCCTCCTCCTCCTCCTCCTCCTCCTCCTCCTCCTCCTCCTCGTTCTCCTGATCTTCCCCGCCATCCTCCCCCAAGTGTTCCCCGAAACGTCTTCACACCGGCTGGGGGAACGCATGGCCGAAAGCTCGCCAGAGCTCTTGCCATGACACTCGGCCACATGGGCGATTCCAACAGGCAGGGGGCGGCGGTGATTCGCCGTGGTCGTCTGCGATGCGTTTTGGTGGGCGGCCGTTTGACGACGCGGCTGCCTTCATGGAGGCGGGAGCCAAACCATTGAGGTGTGCCACCGAAGACACATACAGTGCGGGCGCGGCCGCAAGCAACCCTCGCAAGAAACCCAACCCTGAGAACCCGTGCGCGAGGTGCACCTGAGGGGAAACCTGGAGCACCCCGAACGCAGCAGCTCCCTCAACGACTGCGGGAAGTCACCGCGCAGCGCGAGGAGCGAAGAAACCCAGGACGCCCTGACGAAAAGCATATGGTTTCTCGATGCGCGCCCCCACTGTACAGCATTTCGGGTTACGTCGTGTGCGGTGCTGCCACGTTCGGCCCAAACGCGGCGTTTAACAGCGCCTCGCGGAGCAGCTCCGGCCGCGGACCACTACCTGTTGACGGTGGACAGTGGAAGCGCAACGCTCTCAGAATGACGGCCCATTGAGACCCAAACCTCCTCAAGACGAAGATCTGCTTCGAGACCCCGCAATGCAATCAACGATGCGGACAATTTCCTGGGCGAGATTGCTGGCCACACGATTCCCTGGAACGTGGGCGCTTGATGGGACCAGGGCGCACGTGCAGCGCTAGTGGCCGCCACTGTTCTACCACGCCGTCCAGAATCAATAAAACGACCAAAGGTGTCACAACGTACACTGGCACTGATACAACAAAGAAACAAACCTCGCGTCAACAACAACCGTCAAGTAGAGCAACGCTTGATAACCAAGTAAAGCAATATTGCGAAACAAATACGGCAAAGTGAATGGACTCAAACATTGCAGGTGGGCGCTGGGACGATATTCGGGGATTCTAGAAACCACGGCAACATAAACAGGCTTCGCAACTTAAGTGGGCAACGGATTGCAGGCCATGAGCGCGCAGATACCATGGCAACCGACTTGGAACAACAGACATGGAAACTACGGCCGACAAGTTTAGACGAGGCCCTGGGACCGCCCTTTCACGTCGGTGAATCGACTTTCACCATGCAGGTGGAAAAACGGTACGACAACTCAAATGGGGACAGGCAGCAGGACCTGACGATTCCCGCAGAGTGTTGGAAAGCAATACCTCAAACACCTGGTGGGCTAAAGTGGTTTACAGAAGTATGCAATTCAACGTGGAAGGAACATACATTTCCCGAAACATGGCAACATGCCACGGTAAACATGTGTGGAAATTACCGGCGGATTCCTCGACTGTACTTTGCGTACAAACTCCTCGCCAATATCCTCTTACATCGTCTACAATAAGCAAGGCTGAAAACCAATTGTCCCGAACTCAATGCGGCTTCCGCCAAATGGCGAAATACAACAGATGCCATTCAAGACGTACGCTGACATATCGAGCCTGCCCACGCCAGGAAACACGGTGGGACTACATTTGCTGCCCTGGACTGGGGAAAACATTCGACTCCAGAAATGTTGAAGCTTTGCTGGCAGCTCTGTGCCGTTTCGGAATACCTTGGAACATGCTCACGCTGATGGGGAATATTTACAAGGCCATGCGGATGTGCTTAGCCGACAGGGCAGCCGAACCTTGGAAAGAAAACACATGTCTTGAATATCACAAGGTTGCCCGTTGTCGCCATGTCTTTTCGTCATGCTGATGTCTGTGGTCTTGTGAGACGCCGTGAACCACCCGAGCGACAATGACGAGCTCGATCGGATTCTGGAAATCGTTGGGTGTTGCTGCATGCCAACGGCAAGCTGATCATCGGAAAAAGCTAAACCGTCTTACAACACCTCTTGGACGACATCGCTTTGGCGGGACCAAAAATTATAATGGAACTGCACTGGGAGACATTACAAATGATCAAACTAATCAGCGACGTGACGTCGAGGACGCCGGCTGGACAACTGATCGCCCAGAAATTGCACATTATATATACATATATATATATTTGGGGTGATACTTCATACAACAGCGGACATTTGGGCACAGAGCTTAAAACGAAGGAGAGTGACAGTTTGAGCCTAATTCTCAACATATGACAGAGCATGGAAGCACACTACTTTGAGCAAGCGGCGAATACTGGATCTATCCCGAGCAATGCTGACATCAAGCATCACTTTCTTACGGGAGTGTTTAATATCAGAATTCTAAAAGAAGCTAGGAAATTGCAATACTGCGCGCATCTTCTTCCACAGCAGATATTACTATTTCACAATATTGGCCAGGCTCCAGATACAGACAGTCGTCGACGGTTCAGTTTTCAGACCTGTACTGTTCGTTCAATCGTGGATGCGGATCTTGCAAAGGAGGAGAGACAGACCCAAACACGGAAACGCGAAAATTCCACACCAGGTTTTGGTTGCTCATGTCGGCCAGGGTTATACTTGGTTTCAGCACCTGCAGGACCCCATCGAATGTAGACGTATTGCTGAACACATGGCAACCACGATGATGCCCGGTGCCATGGCGTGTTCTGATTATGTTACCGCCCGTGCGCTTGTATGGCTTAGCGTAGCGTAGCGTAACGATCAAATCAAATCAATCATACCTGAATCGATACGGCGGGTGAGAAGGAAAATGACGTAGGAGCGAGAGAGGTACACGGTACACAAGGCCTTCCACGGCGACAACAAAAACAGGCACGGACCGAACCGACAGCAAAAACGAAGCTGGACCTAGCGCGGCTGAGAAGAGCGCATCGACGCGGCAACGACGCAACAACCGACCGAACCGAAGCGACCGAACGCAACCGACCGAACGTAACCGACAGCGTCGCGGCCGAATAGGCGAACCGCGGGCACCCTTGCTTTGGCTTGAGGGTTCCAAAACAGTGCGGTGACAAACCGTGCGGTGACCTCGAAATTCCTGGATCCCTCACCGCACGGTCCGTCCCTGCACGGATCTGGGACCTTGGAGGCCCCAACCGCCCGAGACACCCTCGGCGAACGGCCTCAGTCCCAAAACCGTGCGGTCACGCGCGCGGCCCAGAACTCAGAGATGTTTTGAAATAAAGGGAGCGGGCCATGAAATCTGGAGATATCATGGCCCCGAGCCCCCCCCGAACCCTGCTGCCCGGTCTCCAAGGCGAAGGAGGGCCCGGAGACGATGACCACGGGGTTCTCGCCGTTGTCGCGGCCCAGGGCCTCCGCGCGCGCAGGGAGCCCAGTCGCATCGGCACGTGCGCCAGATCGGGCTGCATCTCGGGAGGGAGAACGAGTACACGTCGGTCGGAAGAAGTACCTATACGACCACCCTTCGGGTGATACGGAGTTTGTGGTGGGGGGGAAGAGAGGGGGGGAACCAACATCTGACTCAATCGATATCACGATCGATCTCACTCAACGGGACACCACGGGACACCACGGGACACCTGTCGATCTCACTATCGATCGCACGATCGATCTCACTCAACGGGGAACCAACATCTGACTCAATCGATCTCACGATCGATCTCACTCAACGGGACACCACGGGACACCACGGGACACTTGTCAATCTCACTATCGATCTCACTATCGATCTCACTCAACGGGACACCACGGGACGCCACGGGCCACCACGGGACACCGCGGGACATCTCTCGATCTCACTATCGGTCTCACTATCGATCTCACTATCGATCTCGCTCAATGGGACAGCATAGAACACCACAAGACACCTCGGGACACCACATCGATCTCACAATCGATATCACTGTCGATCTCACTCAACGGGACACCACAAGACACCACGGGACACTTGTCGATCTCACTATCGATCTCACTCAACGGGACACCACGGGCCACCACGGGCCACCACGGGACACCACGGGACACCCGGGACACCGCCCGGCCCAACTGGGACACCTCCCAGCCACCGGCGGACGGCAACGGACTTTCGCTCCTACGTCGGCCGAGCTACAGGAGGATCACGCGGAGCTTCGCCTCGCCCGCACGCACGACACGAACACGCAACCGAAACAGATTTCCCGGTGGGGGGTCTCCATTTCACTGCGATCTCACCCCCCAACCTCCGATATAGAACCATGAAGTAGGGAGGCGTTGGAAGTAGATTTGGGTTTCCGCCCGCGTCCTGAGGAGTCTTTCAGGGGCAGGACCCCAAATTCTCGAAACCTCTGGGGCTTGTCGCGGTTTCCCTGGGGTCCCTGGCATTTTGTCGCAAAACTTCTTGGGCCGACGAGCCAAGAGGCCCCCACAAGGCCCCGAAAACGGTCCAAGAGGGCCCCGAGTCGCCGACTGACAGTTCCAAGGGACTCAAAATGGCACCGAGACGGCGCAAGAAGCCCCCAAGACGCTTTTGTCAACGGATTTTGGCTTTCTCGCCTTTTCGGCTTCCCGACGCTCCAAGACGGTCCAAGAAGGCCCGCGAGACCGCCCCTAGACGGCCCAAGAGGCTTCGAAAAGGGCCCCCACACGGCCCAAGAAGGCCCCAAGACGCCCTGAGGGGCACCCAAGACGGCCCCAACACAGCCCCAAGACGGGCCCAAAGAGGGAGCACGACCCGAAAATCCGACGAGCCTTCCGCCCCAAGAGGTCCCCAGAAAGCTCCCAGGGACGCCCAGGAAGCCCCAAGACGCCCCCAAGAGGCCCCCAGGACGCCCCAAGAGGCCCCCAGTAGATTCAAAGAACCCTCATCTGGCTCCAAAAAGGCCCCCCATAGTCTCCAAAACGGCCCACAAAAGGCCTCGAAACTACCTCCAAGAGCCCCCCGGAGGCCTCCCACGAGATCCCAACGAACATCCAGTTGGCTCCATACCCACAGTTCAGGCACGGTGGCAGGATGGGCCGAAGGTCGTTCGACACACCGCCCCCTGCTTATGTATCGCAAGCGTGCCTGGCGTGCTGGATGTCAGCGAGGTTTTGAATGTGTTTCGAACTGCCATTTGGATTTCGGCCGAACGCGCCAGCCAGGCCACCCAGAAGAAGCGGTTGTCAAGGTTGTTGCGGCTCCAGATGTCTCCCATATGGCTTCGAAGACGGTCAAGATGGCCATCAAATTCGCCCAAGATGGTCCAACATGGCCTCCAAGACGACCCAAAAGTGTCCGAGATGCTTCCAAGTCCGCCCAAGAAGCCTTCAAGACGGCCCAAGAGGCCTCCAGGTGTTCCTCCAGGAGTGCAGGCCAAAACCATGGATGTTCGGTAAATTGGTGAAGGATGTTGGCATTTGCTTCTTTTCGGCGTTCCAACGGCACAACAGGGCCCCAAACCGGCTTACAGAGGCATCCAAGGCGGTTTCCGACGGCAGAACAAGGACCTCGAACCCTTGGGGAAAAAGGGTTCAAGTTAGGAGGGCGAAGAACATTAGGGATAGGGGTCTGTTCCTGCAGACGCATCGAACCAATCCGTACACAAAAAATCCCGAATGCAGGGGCGGGGACCTCAGTGAGGCCACGACACCCGGGCTCTCCTATAGGTGCATGACGGACGGTTCTTAGAACTGAATAATGCTAAAAGAAATAACCTGGGGGCGAACCCAACCTTTCAAGCATGTGGCGAGTATACATCGGATCGTTCAATACAGAAGCCATCGTTGAACGATCCGCAATGCCCTTGAACGCTTTGCCAAATAACGTCGGGCCAGACTCCAAAGCGCGACCACGAGGGGACGCGTGACATAATTCGGAGGGGCGATCGGAGACATAACGCGTGGGAGTAGCAAGCGCCTTGCGGTGTGCTCGCATTGCAGGACAGCGCTCTGCACGCTATGACAGTACAGCGCCTTGTACTAAACGTAGTATGTGCCCGCATGCACTACAAGCAACAAGCAGCTGAATGAGGGATGCGGCACGGGCAACGAACAACGCCATGCGCTCTGGCTCCACGGGAAATGGCGACAATCTCGCATATCGCAGCCCTCCAAGGGATGGCGAGGTCTCGTGGTGATCTGCGTAGGTCGTCCCTCTGCTGGGCCTCCCAGGAGCCCACGAAAGTGGCGACAATTTCGCAGATCGCAGCCCTCCAGGGGACGGCGAGGTCTCGTGGTGGTCCACAGATCGCAGCCCCCAGGGCGCCGCGAGATCTCGTGGTGATCTGCGTAAGTCGTACCTCCGCTGGGCCTCCCAGGAGCCCCCTAAAGTGGCGACAATATCGCAGATCGCAGCCCTCCAGGGGACGGCGAGGTCTCGTGGTGGTCCGCAGATCGCAGCCGCCCAGGGAGCGACGAGGTCTCGTGGTGATCTGCGTAGGTCGTACCTCCGATGGGCCTCCCAGGAGCCACCTAAAGTGGCGACAATCTCGCAGATCGCAGCCCCCCAGGAGACGGCGAGGTCTCGCGGTGATTTGCGTGGGACGTACCTCGGGTTGCCCTCCCAGAAACCCACGGAAGCGGCGACAGTTTCGCACATCGCAGCCCCCCTGGGGGCGACTAGGAGGAGGAGCAAGGAGGGAGGAAGGAGGAGGGGGGAGGAGTGAGTGAGTGATTGAGTGAGCGATGGAGACCAAGGTGCTCTATTCAAAGCGAGTGCCCAGCACAGGACGGTTGGGAAAAACACGGTAGAACATGAGCTTCGCCACTGCTCGATGCCGCCTCCTCCTTGCTGCCAAGCCCTCTCCTCCGATGGCGCACACTTGCTTTGCGGCGTGCGCCCCCTGGGGCCCTCGACCTCCTCCCGGGGGCCCCATCGACGCCCGGGGTGGGGGGGGGGAACGCCGGGACTGGCCCACGGAGGCCGAAGCAAGAAAAGGACGGCCGTCGCGATGTGTTTGCGGCAACGCACGGATGTGGCAAGACACGGATGCCGCGATTCCCCGCACCTCGCCCAGGGTGCGTTCCGACTAGAACTCCGAAGGCAATTCGAGCGTGGCGACGACGGCCCTCCAGGACCAGCAGCGGCATGCATCGGCAACGACCTTGCCTCCTCCCTCCCCGCCGTCCGGCGGGGGGGAGGAAGGCGGCAGAGGGCGACCCGTGCCCCCGCGCCCGCCTCCGGGATGAGGTCGGCCATCAGCATCCTCGAATTCATCTCCACGCCCTTGGACGCCGCAACGACCGGGATGTTGCGGGGCAGGGAGTGCCGGATCTCGCCGAGCACCTCCGGCGTCGGCGGGGGCAGGCGGAAGGCGCGCGCGGCCCGGTCGCCCAGCTTCGCGCGCCGCGCTGCGCGACGCGCGAGCCGACACCATTTTCGCGCCATGGCGCCGCCGCCTGGAGGAACACAGCTCCTCCTCTTCCTCCTGCTCCTCCTCCTCCTCCTCCTCCTCCTCAGGCCCAGGCCGCGAAGCGCTGATATCCTCGCAGCGCCGCAGGCGACCAAGGAGCGAGCTGGACCGAATCGCAAGGTCCTATCGGGTCGGCAACGGATCGGATCGCGCCTGCATCGCCGCGGAAGCGGATCGGGATCGGAACGCTTGGGAGCGCGGACCAGGCTCACCTCGTGCAGGCCGGAGAAGGACTCCACGCGTGTCGGATTGGATCGGGCTGGCATCGAATCAAGACGCGAGGACCGGGTGGGACCGAATTGCAGCGCGAAGAGCGGCCCTGACTGCACGCCCCAGCCGATAACCCCAGGCCGGGGCATGCAGTCAGGGCCAGAAACCCCTGGCCCCCCGTCCACCTTTCCCACCGCGGCCTGCGGAAGCGCCACCTCCACCCTCCCACATGGCCTATCCCCTTCCGCTTCCCTTCCTCAAGAGGGCACCCTCCTCCCTGCCCCCCCACACCCTCGCTCCCAGAGGACGCCCCCCCATTCCCCTCGCACCCTCCCCCCCGACGACGACAACGATCGTCTGCGACCAATTTCGATCCCTACCCCCCACGTGTCCAGTCGACTCTGGGTGGGGTACCAGACACCCCCGCTGGGCTATCGGACGCCCCCCACTTCCTCGACCCAGAAGGGCGCCCCCCTCCGACTCCCCGCCCTTCCCGACGACGACGACGACGCCGATCGACCCTACAAGATCTGTCAGCATCGGAGCAGAAATCGAACTTAATCAAAATGCGCATCGAACTGGGCCGTATCGACACGGAGCTGGAATTCAATCGAATCGGCCGCGCCAAACTGCACAAGAACGCAGGGGCGAATATCGGGACGTATTGCATCGCCGTAAGGTCGGCATCGAATCGGACCAGGCCGGTTGAAACCGATGCCGAATCGGATCGATCGGATCGACACGGGCCCGAAAGAATTCCCAAATAGTAAGAAGAAACATAATGCGTTTCTCGGCGGCGAGCTTAGGGGGAAGTGAGAAGGGGCGTGTCTTCTCAGAAAGCTCGAAGTCTACTGGCATTGTGCGAAATGTTCGAAGCCTTCCCCAAAGACACATAACACTTCTCTGAAGGCCAGAAGGCTTCTGAGAAGCCCCGCCGCCTTCTGAGAAGGCCTTCTCCTCCTCACTCCCAACCCCCATCGCTCGCCGCCGAGTCCCCAACAGCCCGACAACGTGATAATCTCCGGAAGCTTCTGCCTGCCCCCAGGCGGCGAACGGATCGCGCGCGGCTCGGCGGCGCCCACACTTCGGCCTTTTGGGCTCGAGAGCAGACTCTGTGCAGTGTGCAACATAACAGGGGATATGTCGACCCCCAATCCCATGCTTTTGGAGGTTGTCGAATGGGCCAAAAAATTGGGGCCCAACCCTGGGACGAAAGGATGGGGGGGGCGTCCATCCTCGATAGGGGTCCGTCCGAATAGCCCCCCTGGGGTGTATCCCAGGGTTTCCCTTTTTTTTCCTGAGCGGCCGAACTTTTCGGGCGGTGACAACAGATAGCAGGGGTGAGAATGAGCAGGCCCACGTGCTATCAACAAAACGACATGGAAGCGGCGCTCCCAACCCTTCTGGCGGCTCACTACCACTGCGCTGAGCGTTCATCAGATACCCCATCAAGCGATGGTTGGACACAAGGAAGTAGGTGGGCAAAGCATTGATGATGCGAAACTTATCGTTGTCTGCAGACGTTGGGAGCAACGAAAGCGCGCACGGGTCTACAACGCCCTCTCGAAAACAAGGGAGCCTACCAATAAAAGCAACCTGCCATGGCTCCGTAACATTCCCATCTTAGGAGGCAACTCCTTGGAGGTCTGCGTGAGAACAATGCAAGAATACGAGTGGGCCTGACTAAGGAGCCATGAGATCTGGGCCAACAAAAAACGCACGATTAAGCGATTCTAGAAGGAACAAATCGGATTCGAGCGATGTTCTACCATGGATTCGCCAGCGCCCATGCTGAATTCAACCTCGCTGGAGTTGCAACCGAGCTTACCCGAAGCAAGCACTACAACAAATTGCAGAATGTTCTTAGGTTGCAATTTCGGGTGACATTGCCTGTTCAATCGCGAGAATCATCCGCGTCGAATCCGAACCGAAACCATGTCGAACGCGTCATATCCAAACGAATCCACGCTGGATTGACGTAGAATCCGCGTCGGAACCGCGTCGGGTGCAAGAGAATAATACTCTGAAGAGCAGGCAAGGCCTTCCGAAGGAACCACGTAAGACTGTTCCATTCCTGGCAGGCTACAGAAGAAGTCTATCGCGAAGCTGCCTTGCGAGATATCTGCACCGGGAGCGCGTGCACGAAGGTGGTGCAGCCATTCAGCGCTTCGGTGGGATCGCACGTGGCTGGCGGCGGAGAGCACAAGAAACACACGACGCTGAGGAGGGCGGCAAGGACTAAGTTCGAGGGCACGAATCCCACCGCCAGATGCCCCCTAATGGGAAGCACTCCAAGGAGGAGCGCCCAAGCACTGAGAAAAGAACGATACAGCTCCAAAGCTCGTGCCATCTGCATGCTGTATGCAGAGCGGCAGGGGAGGGAGTTGAGGAGGACAGAGATAGAGGAGCTAAAGAGCATAAAACATAGAACTTTCGTAGGTTCCACCAGATTTCGTGGATCAGCGCTGCCCCCCTCCGCCCCGTGGAAATCGCCGATCCAAGAAACGCGAACGGACCTCACAAAGTCTACGTGTGTGTGTATGTGTGTGAGAGAGAGAGTACCTTTCTCTTCTTGAAGAAGCGGAGGGGCAAGTAGGAGGAGTGAGCAGAGTGGAAGGCAGAGGCAGTGGGAATGACGTCACGGGCAACACCTGCACATACACACACACACACACGATATTGCACGAGATGGCGCGCCACTTCAAAATGCACCATCTGTGTTTGCGACACAACTGCGTGTGCAACTATGTTGCATCGGTCGACGCGCACTGTGCGACACGTGTCACGTAATTCAAGTCACGAGACAATGGCTACGACACCACGTCCGCCGCTCTGCCCCTAGGCACGATCAGGCCTATCACGCCACATCGTGTCTCGCGTTTCAACTGTAGCTTTATCCATGCTCCCCCTCCCTTCATCACACCGAATCGCCTAGTGAGCGCTTCTTAGTCGGTCGGCGTTACGACATTGAGCGACAGGGGGGGGAGGGTGGGGGTCTGGCTCCGGACCTCTGCTCAGTGCGACTGTTCGCAACAGTGCTTCCTATTGGGGGAGACTCCACCTGCTCGTAACAGGCACCCAAAACCGCCAAATTCTACTTCAGGGGGGAGGGGGGGGGGGGCGACGAGGGGCCCGACGAGAACCTCAGAGATGGCCCAAGCACCTTTTGGTCGCGGCGCCAAAGGAGAACTCGACGCGGTCGGGGCTACGCCGGTCTAAACAAGTGACTTTAGTGAGAAGCGGCTGTGAGGGAGGGCAGGAGGATTCTCAATCAGATGGAGGGCCAAAACACCCCAGATCGAAGAGGACAAAGAGCTCTGAGGGAGGACGATGTGGATCAAAGAAAACAGCGACCCCAATCTGCCGCGATGGTCGACTCGGAGGTCTGCTTGGGCTCACCCCGTGCGTCGGTCCGACGGCTGCCTGTTCTATGCCTCACAAATGCATCCTACTCTTTCTTAGTCGAAGTAAGAACGGGTTTGGGATGGGTTACGCGAAGCGTCAAGAAATGGCTGCTATTGCCCTTCAGCCAAGGGCTGGTTGATTCAGACCAAGGTCAGGCAAACGGTGTGGCCAATTTAACGGTGTAGTCTGAATTCTGGCTTTTCAGACAATCACCTCCGATGCGTGCACAGGCTGCGCCAAATATCTCTTCTGAATAATATTAGCCTGGCGAAGGACCCAAACATATGCAGTTGCAAGTATCGTAGTTGTATCGTCTTCGGTGGAGCTCCGCATGGGGCGGCGAAGCGCTTGGGTTGTGCTAAAATGGGCGAGGGGACCGCGTGCGAACGTGCGAATTGGCTACTGGGGCCTTTGGTGCGGAGCCCCCTATGCGGTCACGCAACCTGGGAGGGATGTAGCCAAATGGGTGGATGAGATGCGTGCGAGACCTAACTAACACTGGAGCTATGAATGGAGCCCGCCGATGGGGCCACAAAACGTGGGAGGGGCGAGCCGCTATGGGCGGGGAGGCGCATGCGATTCCTGCCGCAGGGGCGCTGGGTGGAACTTCCGATGGGGTCACGACACGTGTGGGATGCAACAGGGGGCACGCATGCGAACCCTTCCACAAGAACATTGGGAGCGCCGGAACGGGCGGATGAACCGCATGCGAAGCCTGTCACTGGGGCCCTGGGTGGAGCTCCCTGTGGGGCCACGTACGTGTGAGGGGCGTGCCGTAATCAAGGGGAAGACGCGTGCGAACTTTGCCACTCCATGGGGAGAGAACCCTTGGGGACAACGAAGCGTGTGAGGGATATGCCGTAATGAGCGGGGGAGACGCATGCGAACCCTGCCACTGGGGCCATGGGTGGTCCCCCTAGGGGGCCACGAAGCGTGGGAGTGGCGTGCCATTATGGGCGGAGGGGACGCACGCGAACCCTGCCTCTGTGGCCCTGGGTGGAGCTCCCGATGGGGTCACGAAACGTGCGAGGAGCGTGCCGCAGTGGGCGAGGGAGGACGCATGCGAACCCTGCCACTGGGGCCCTGGGTGGAGCTCCCGATGGACCACGAGGCGTGTGAGGGATGCGCCGGATTGGTTGTGCGAAGGGCAGATGCAGGGATGGGAGGAGGGAGGTCAGGAGTGAACGCGGGGCACTGCGGATTCAAGACGAGGACCCAACACCACAGGATGACTGAAGACAGTTTGCCCCGCTAAGGACCCAACCATATGCAGTTGTGAGAGAGCGCGCGCGCGCGGAACTCGCAAGGGGGGGGGGCCCCCCCGAGCTACCCCCCCCCCCAATAGGCCCCCCTTTGCTGGAAGTTACCCCCCCCCCCTCCCTCCCTTTTGGTCCCCTCCTGGAAGCTCCCCCCCCCTCCCCCCTTTTGCCGCTCCAGAAGCTACCCCCTTCCCTTTCCAAAGGCGGGGGGGGCTTAGCTACCCCCCCCTTTGGACCCCACCTGCTGGAAGCCCCCTCCCCCTCCCCCACTTTTTTGCCTCCCCCCGGAGCTCCCCCCCCCCTCCCCCCTTTTGGCCGCTCCGGAAGCTCCCCCCCCCCTCCCCCCCTTTGGACCCCCTTGCAGGAAGCTACCCCCCCCCCTCCCCTCCTTTTTCCAAAAGGAGGAGGGGCTTAGCTGCCCCCCTCCCCCTCTGAACCCCCCCTGCTGGAAGCTAACCCCCCCTCCCCCCATTCCCCTCCAACCCGAACCCGAACCCTAAACACGAACCCTGAGCCCTAACCCGAACCCGAAACACTCACCCTATCCCTATCCCTAACCAGTAACCCGTAACCCTAAACCTAAACACTAAACCACCCATGACCCTGGCCCATAACCCTAGACCTAAACACTAAACCCCCCAGGACCCTAACCCTAACCTTCTAACCCTAACGAAATCTCTACACGAAAAAAAATACTGAAAAAGAAAATAATAATTTAATTTTAGCTAAAGAAAAGAAATAAAGAAAGAAGAATAATAAAAAAAATTTACAAAGAGAAGGGAAAAAAAATAAAAAAGAAAAAAGAAACAAAAAAAAAAATAAAACAAAAAAAAAAAAGCAAAAAAGACTTAAAAAAAAAAAACAAAATAAATAGAAAAGGAAATGAAAAAATGAAAAAAAAGAAGAAAATACAAGAAAAAATAGAAAAGAATAGAAAAAAAAATCAGAATATTAAAAAAATCAAAGTCAACCCTTCACTTCTTACCTTAACTCTCAACCCTCGTCGTCGTCCGTCGACATCGTCGTGGTCGTCACCGTCGTCGTGGTCGTACGACGACGACGACTCCCCCCCCTCCTCCCTCTTCTCATCGTGTCGAAGATCTCTCGCGTCGACGACGACGAAAACTGGCCCAAGACGGCTGTCTCATCCTGGATCGATAGATCCGTTCCGGATGGACCTGGGGTCGCGAAAACGGCCCCCGGACGCCGAGATCGAGGAAAGCCCGCCGACCGACGACCGACGACGACCCAGGGTCAGAGAAAACGAGACCACGACCCAGGGGCAGAGAAAACAAGGAAACGAAGCCGGGTCCGAGAAAACGAGACCACGGCCCAGGGGCCGAGAAAACGAGAGAACCAGAAAAGGAACCAGGATCCCAAAAAACTAACCAGGGTCTGAGAAAACGAGACCACGACCCGAGGGCAGAGAAAACGCGAAAACGAACGAGGGTCCGATAAAACGAGACCACGACCCAGGGGCCGACAAGACGAGACAACGAGAAAACGAACCAGGACCCGAGAAAGCGAGAACACGACACAAGGGCAGAGAAAACGAGAAAACGAGAAAATGAACCAGGGCCCGAGAAAACGAGACAAACACCAAGAAGCCGAGACAACGAGACCAGGGTCCGAGAAAACGAGATAACGGCCCAAGGGCCGAGAACACGAGAAAACAAACCAGGGTCCGAGCAACCGGGACCACGACCCAGGCCGAGAAAACGCGAATAGGGTTCTAGCAAACGAGACCACGACCCAGGGGCCGAGAGAACGAGAAAACGAGCAAAAATAATCAGGGCCCGAGAAAACGAGACTACGAACCAGGGGGCGAGAAAACCAGGAAACGAGAAAACAAACCAGCGTCCGAGAAAACGAAAACACAGTCCAGGGGCAGAGAAAATCCGCCGCCGATCCGGCGTGTGAGTTTAAGAAGTCTAAGCTGAAGCTCTGCTTCAGCATGAGCTTTAGCTCTGCTTGGGAGGGGGAGAAGGGGGGGGACGTAATTACCTGACGAATTAAGTGCTCGGCACCTCCCTCCCCCCCTGCCAGCCCCCAGCAGAGAGGGGGGGGCAGGAGAGAGGGGGGGGGAGAGGGGGGGGGACAGGAGAGAGGGGGGGGGAGGGAAGAAGAGAGGGGGGTTGGGCAAGCTAGGTGCGCTCGCGTCATATCTGACGTCCTACCCCTCCCTCCCATCCCTTACCATGGCGCTGATTTTCTCTATCCGCGGACGCGTGTCGTAGCGGACCTGTGGCTCCGCGCGCGCGTGCGTAACTAGTGGGTGGTGGTGCGCGTGCGTTCGTGCGTGCGTGTGTGCGTGGTTGTGGTGGTGGTGGTGGTGGTGGTGGTGGTGGTGGTGGTGGTGGTGGTGGTGGTGGTGGTGGTGGTGGTGGTGGTGGTGGTGGTGGTGGTGGTGGTGGTGGTGGTGGTTGTGGTGGTGGTGGTGATGGTGGTGCTGGTGGTGCTGGTGGTGGTGCTGGTGGTGGTTGTGGTGGTGGTGGTGGTGCTGGTGGTGGTGAGGCGCGGTGG